TATATATATATATATATATATATAGTACCTCAAGCTTCTTTTCCGAAGCATTTTAATGCCACGATTATCAAATTTAATGAATTTTAATGCCAATTAAGGCCTTAATTTAAAAAATAATAATTTAATGACTTTTAATAATTTTTAATGACCCGTGGAAACCCTGGAGAAGGACAATTTTGTATGAGTTCAAACAATTTGTTCTAATCATTATCTGTGTGTTCTGGACAAGCAAGAGGGATTTTGAGAGGAAGGCCTGCACTGCAAAAACGTTCTTGAAATAAGTAAAAATTTCTTAAATTAAGTGCATTTATCCTTAATTTAAGCAGGTAAATGGGATGTGTTGCCATTGGAATAAGTATTTTTGCTCTTAAAATAAGATAATTAAATAATATGCACTTGAAATATGACATTGATATTGTATTTTTAATATTTTAAATGTAATTGGTCTTGTTCCATTGGCAAAATGCCTTACCTCCTCAGTTTAAAAAATGCACTGATTTTAAGAAGAAATTACTTAATTAGATTTCTTTTTTTTTTTTGCAGTGTGAAAGATGAGTTTGAGTAAATTAACCAAGAAGTGCATAAATAAGGCTGTAAGAGAAGAACAGAGATGGTTGATTTAAATTTCTCTTAAGAAGGACATCCGAAAAAACGGCGAGCTCTGATTGTTATTACTGCACTAAAACATACATTTTTTAGGAACTCAGGCTAAACGGTTTATATAAATACTGAAATTAACTCGACATGTTGTTTGTATATTTTTTTTTTTACCACAAACCTTAAAAACCCTTTATATTCACCTTCAGCTGTTAAGAACAGCAGCGGTAAATCCCTGACAGGAAGGCTGCTGCAGAGAGCTGCTCTCAGTAAGACAGAAAAAAGAAAACAACAACAACGGTCCGTTTAGGTGTTTAATAAATATATGAATCAGGAAATTGTCTATATACCAAACCAAGTGATTCCTTTTCTCTACTTCAAAAAACTTTAGATTTTAAAAGGAAAAAATTTTCTATTTTTTAAAATATATATATTTTTTTTTATTTAAAAGGTCAATGTATAACATGGATGCATAAAAACCCCATTTTATTTCAGTGTTAAATTCTGTTTAAGTAACAGATAATAATTAAAAATGTCTCCAGACCTTTAATGGTTGTTAAGTTTCTTTATTGGGACCCTGCTGACTTTTAATTGGTTACCCCTGATGTAGAGCGTCAAAGAAACTTGACCAGCACCCAGCGTTCAAATTTCGTAGTTTTTGACACCTAGTTCGTGTTCTGTGTGAACGCACCTTAAGGGATAAGATATAATTAAAGGCAACTTGGTGCAAGGAATTGTGTTTTCCTGTTTATTTTATGCGAGCCCTCTGAAAGAAAGCTTGATAGCAGGATGTCATCAGGCTTAGTGAACTAGTAGGGCAGGACATCCGCATAACAGAGAAGGCAAATACCATGTTTTCTGATAATGAGACCATCAGAAGATACCAATTTTATATAAACAACAGAGGACCAATAACAGAACCTTGAGGACACCCAAAGATACATGGGAAATATCATAATTTAACCTTTTTATGTCGAACAAAACAAGAGGATTAGAACCAGGTCTAAGAGATGGCAGAGAAACCAAGCTGAGGATGATGATGATGATGATGATGATGATGATGATGATGATGATGATGTGGCTTTTTGTTCTCAGGTTTGTTCTGAACGAGCTCATTCAGACGGAAAAGGACTACGTCAAAGACCTGGGCACTGTGGTGGAGGTAAAGCTTCGACAGTCGCACACCTCTGCTGTTAGCGGCACAATAGCTTCACCATCGGTGTTTGTGTCCCTGCAGGGCTTCATGAAGACGATCGAGGAGAAGGGGGTCCCAGACGACATGAAGGGAAAGGAGAAAATAGTATTCGGCAACATTCACAGGATCCATGACTGGCACAGAGAGTACGTCTCCCATGTTGATTTAAAATAATGGAGTAAAGAGAATCTGTTCAGCTGCTAACGTTCCTCTGATGCTTCTCAGCTTCTTCGTAGGAGAGCTGGAGAAATGTGTGGATGACACCGAGCTCCTCCCTGAACTCTTCATTAAACATGTAAGTAAAAGGAAAAGTTAGAAGGTTTGAGCTCTTTAATCCCTGTGATGACTGAGAAACGACCCGATGTCTGTGTTACAGGAGAGAAGACTGCACATGTACGTGGTTTACTGCCAGAATAAACCAAAATCTGAGTACATTGTAGCAGAATATGACAAATACTTTGAAGTAAGTACATTTTTTGTTATGGACTGTCTGAACTTCACAATTTTATTTTCCCTATAAAACAAACTGACTCCCTGCAGCCCTTTTTACCTTTTCTACCTGCTCATATCCTCCCAGAATAGTTGCTTATATCGTCCAAAGCATCTAACCCAACCGTCTCTGTGTCGCTGTTATTCTGCTTTCCAGGGAATCCAGCAGGAAATTCACTCCAAGCTTTCCATCAGTGACTTCCTCATCAAACCCATCCAGAGAATCACCAAATACCAGCTGCTGCTGAAGGTACCAAGCATTCAAACCGTAGGAATCTGTTTTATAGCTTTTAACTTCGGCCTGGCAGAGTTTGCTCGTTATTTTCCTTAGTCTAGAGACACGGTGCTAATAAACGTGTAGCTGCATCTGAACTGGTTTTGCCATATGGGGCCCCGTTTTTTAAGTTAAGCAGTCAAACTTTGACAGGGGGGTTAATTTTTCCAAGTTATTTTTTCACTACGTAAATCATTCATTTCTAAAAATCTTACTTTGTTAAATAAATATTTAGCTCCAAACTAAATATTTAGTTTGTTAAATAAATATTTAGCTCCAAACTAAATATTTAGTTTGCTAATTAAATATTTTGTTTTTTTAAATAAATACTTAGCTTCAAATAATATATTAATTTAACAAACTAAATATTTAGCTCCGAACTAAATATTTATTTTTGCAGATTAAATATTTATTTTTTAAAACAAATATTTAGCTCCAAACTAAGTATTTAGTTTGCTAATTAAATATTTTGTTTTTTTAAATAAATACTTAGCTCCAAATAATATATTAATTTAACAAACTAAATATTTAGCTCCGAACTAAATATTTATTTAACAAAGTAAAAGTTTTATAAATGAACCAATGACACGGTGAAAAAATTACTTGGGGGGGAAAAAAAATAACCCCCTTATTTTTCTCTTAGAAGACGCTATAACCAAAAACATTGCTCCTAATTTTTGACTGCTTAACTTTACAAACGGCACATTATAATCCTATCGTCATGAACGGTAAACTAAGATTTAAGGAGTGTTATCCACTGTCTTACAACGCCTTGCAAAAGCATTCATACCCTTTAGCCGTTCACATTTTCTATTTCTGAGCACAAACTCTATAAGGATTTGATGTGATGAACTACATCAAAGTGAGACATCATGAGGTGGATGCAGAGATGAATGGTTTTCTTCATTTTTTTCATTTTAAATACATTTATATTCCTCCCCTTTTCATTTTAAATAGAGGGGTTGGATTTTATATTCCTCCCCTCTGAGTAGATGCAGGATAGAACCACATTTAAACAACCTGCAATTAAAGTTGAAAGGTCTCCAACAGTTTTGCACATCTAGCGATTTAAATTAACACCTGTTCTTTTTTCACAGAACAGATCAAGTGGATAGAAAACGTTTAAGAGCCTTTCTTTAAATCTAAAATCTAGGACTGGATTCAGGTCTGGAGCCAGTCTGAGTCTCCCTCCCGTTCGCAGAGGAATGAATAGAGCTTGGTTTATTGTTTTATAACCTACTGTAACTCTGCTTTAAAATGATCTGCAACTTTGTTCTTGACCTTTCTGCAGTGTTCCTTGTTTTTATGATGCTGATTGTTCACTAATCACATTCCACACTGCTTCATTTCTAAAGTCCTTAGAAAAGTGCTGATCAGAGAGCTATAAAAATAGATAAAAGGAATAAAACGGGAATAAAAGGACTGACTTAATACATGGGAGCTGCATGAAATAAGGAGGGAAAACGACCCAACTCAGAAATAAACAGTGACTTCTAGCTGTCAGAGACGGTTGCTTACAATGAAATCTTCATTTATACTCCAAACTTTCAGACTTAAAATCCTTAAGAATAAAAGTTTTGTACACCACAGATCTTTGATTAACTGCAGGGATCTTTGAAGGAAAGCGGCTCCAGAGAAGCAGCAGGGGGAGAATTTCAAGTCTGTTTAAGACGCTTTAATTTTTAAGGAGTCACACTTTGAAAGCTCCGATGTTGAAGAAAAGATGGACAGGTGAAGGAACAGCTGATCTGAGGGGGGAAAGTACCAGCCAAGATCCACGAATTCCAGAAACCGATTGGAGCTGGTTCAGCCAAACTAGCCTCCAGCCTTCCTAGTAGCCTTCCCCACATAGCGGGATGGGTGTGATGTCATTTTTCATCTCTGATACAAACTGTGGATCGAAGGACTCGTTTCATCTCTGGGTTTGTATAAACCCATGTTTGATCAGTTAGTGGAAGAAGAATCGAATCAATCTGTTCAGTTATTTCCTCTGATTTATAAGATAGATTTACTTAATAATGCTGCCTGCTATCATCAGCTTCTGATCATCAGTTGCTACGGTAACTGTGCCAGGATGTTAAACGCAGACATTCTTTTCCCCAGCAACACACCCATCCATCAGGGTTAAATGAGGTATTTAGTCCCTGCAGAGGAACTGGATGTCCTTCATGGTCAGATGAGCTCGTTGCACCTCATCAGGGGAAAACCCAAGAGGAAACCCATTTAGCTCTGTGAACTCGTCTTTCAAAGAGCCGATTTTTGACATGTATGCATTAAAACAACAACAATGGCCGACTTCAAAGCTGCCGTTTTGTTTAAGAATCTAGGCTTCAGAAGTTGTTGGATTTATTTTGGATTTTACACAAACTCATTCTCTACCTGTATGGCAGCATCACTGCCCCACCTGCTGGTGTGTCAGGAGTATTACATCACTTGTTACGGCTCCTTTTACACTGTGGATGACACACCAGACCCAGATTATGCTGGTTTGATTCCTCCGTAGCTGGAACACACTCTTCAGTCACATTTAGAATATTTAAATTTGTAAAAGAAAATAAACATATTACATAATATATATATTATATATTTTTATTTTAAAAAATGACCCACAATTCTTTTTCAAAGTGCTGCTGTTTTGTGTGTCACTGTGTTAATTTTGAGCCGTTTCTCCTCAGGACTACCTGAAGTACAGCAGCAAGGCAGGAATGGACTGTAAACAAATTGAGGTAATCCAAGATTCTGCATCCAGAATGTGTAAATATGTCTCCTGAAAAGAGAAAAGTATTTATCCTGCCTGAAGAACAATGAAAGCCTCTGTTGTTACAGAAAGCCGTGGAGCTGATGTCTGAGGTGCCTAAACTGTGCAATGACATGATGAATCTGGGCCGGCTGCAGGGATACGATGTGCGTTTTCACACCAACATTTCACTCTCGCAGCATAGCCGGAGGCTCTCTGAAGGTCGGGTTTTTAAAGCCATCCCGTTTGTCTCTGCAGGGAAATCTGACCAATCAGGGCAAACTGCTTCAGCAGGAAACCTTCTTCGTCACCGAGCAGGACGCGGGTGTCCTCTCACGGTCCAAAGAACGCAGAGTCTTTCTCTTTGAGCAAATCGTCATCTTCAGTGAGCTGCTCAGGAAAGGCTCGTCCACTCCTGGCTACCAGTTCAAGAAGAGCATCAAGGTGGGTGGATGATGCAGATAATCGGGTGAAACTTATTGATCTTAAAGGAGCTCAGAGCACAAAGCGTTATTTTCTTCCACAGGTGACCAATCTGGGCCTGGATGAGATGGTGGATAACGACCCCTGCAAGTTTGTCCTGTTCTGTCGTGGCTCGTCGGAGCGTTTCACTTTGCAGTCTGCAAACGTCGACATCAAGCAGGTGTGGGTCCAGCACATCAAGAACATCCTGGATGCTCAGAACGACTTCCTGTCAGGTATGGACGCCCAGCCCATCCAAAAACACAAAACATTGAACCTCTGTGAAATTACATAAAGGACAACTCACCCCAAAATCACAAACTGTGTATCAGGATTTGATCCTCCTTCAAAGGTCCTTTAAGTTCCATCAGAAACTGTAGAAGGGCAAAGTAATTCAGTTCATCAGGGTCAGAAAAAAGCTGTAATACTTTGTCTGCAGCTAAACAAAAACCACCAACTCTAACCTTTATGCGTTTGCAGCTCTGCAGTCTCCCATCATCTACCAGCAGGGTCAGAATAAAGAGGTCAGCTCCTCTCTGATCAGACGGCCTTCCTCATCAGGGAACCGGCCATCATCATCCTCCCACAGCCGGCCTTCCTCAGCCCTCGGCTTCAGTGAGAAGGACCTGGAGAGAGGGAAGAGCCCTTTGAAAGTTTCTACCTCTAATGGCGGCTCATCTAGCTTTGAGGCCAGCGTAAGTTCCTGCATCTATCTATCTGTCTGTCTGTCCATCCATCCATCCATCTGAACTGTGGTGTTCCATCTGCTTTTAAATTTCCCGTCCCATCATGATAGCATGATGTGTAAACGGTCTAAGGAACCGAGCCCGGTACGGTTAACTGATCCAAGCTCGGTCCGAACTCGGCACAAATCAGTTTTCAGAGGGTAGTGTAAAAGGGGTTACTTTTTGCCTGCTCATTTGATCTAAGAGCTGCTGGATTTTAGTTTGGGATCATTTTAACTAGACATGGTGTAATCTTTGACCTGCTTATTGGATTTGAAGCCAAAGTGTCATTAACAGGTACAACCAGCATTAGCCAAAAGGCTCCACAGCATTGTGCTGCCACCGCTGTGCTCAGCTGTTGGTGGAATGTTCTCAGCAGTGATTCCTTCCCAGTATATTATTCTCCAGATGATATTTCACTCGTTGATGTATCTGTTCTTCCTCACCTCCTCCTCTGCCTCCTGTCCTCAGCACGATGACGGCGGCTGTAACGGTCTCTACTCCACCATGCGGGTCACTCAGGACTACTCAGCACTTAAAGAGAACGAGATCTGCGTCAGCAGAGGAGACATCGTCCAAGTCCTGGCCACCAATCAGCAGAACATGTACCTCGTTTTCCGGCCAGCCGACAGCCAATCACCGGAGGCCGAGGGCTGGCTGCCGGGCCACGTTCTGGGCCCGTCCACAAAGCCCATAAAAGACTCTTTCTCCACTTCCTCCTTCCCAGCCGCTGTGGCAGACGCCAACAACATCAAGTAAGTCCCCCCCCCAGCAGACAGACACCACTGGACTGGATGAGCAGGGTGGAAGCTCCATCTGCCTGGTTTGGTTTGGGTTGTTTTTCTTGAGTGGGCTCCTAACTCCTCACTGCCTGTGTCCTCGCCTCCTAATTCCTCACCTCCCCCCTCCTGCTGTTCTCAGTTTGGACAGAAGGATTTCCACTGGGAAGTCCACTCCATGTGGCCTGAAAGCAAACTAAAACACACACTGATCCCTCAGTAAAACATGTAGCTGACTCTGACCCAGGTGTCCATGTGGAGCTAAAACCGGACTTTTTTTCAGTTCTAACAAACTGCTTCTTTTGTACCTTTTTTTTTTTTTTTTTTTTAACTGTTTTTTGTTGTTTGTTTGTTTTTGTTTTTTGGACAGAATAAAAGTCACCTGGCCTTTCAGGTGGATTCTGTTCTCCGTAGAGGAGAAGATTGATTTTGTTGTCTGTGGCAATCTGTAAACATTTTTGTTGATTCTTGTTTTCCTTCTTGTTAATTATTATTTTATTTCTTAGACAAAGTTGGATTTTTTTCCTGCTTTGTGTTGATTTTTGTTCACTGTACAGAGTTCATTTTGTTATATCTGACTGAGGCTCTAGAACATTCCTGTTAAAAAAAAGCCATTTGCACTATTTATGAAGATAAAAAAATATGAATGAATTCAGGCTGTGCAATATGTTTGATTCAGCGGCAGCGCTCAGCTTTGTTCTGTCCGTAGTCTGATAAGGATTTTAGCTGTTTTTTTTCTTTTTGTTTTGTTTTTTTAAATATGTAAAATAAAGCTTTTGGATATAAGCATGAGTTAGTGCAGCAGCGTGAAGGTGAACATGTTTTGTTCTGCTTTAGAATGAAGATGGTATGTAGTTTTTAATATTTGTAAATAAATAAGAGCAAATCGAATATCTGCCTGAATTTCTGCACACAGCAACTATATTTAATTTATTAAATCTGAGAGAAGCTTTATAGGCCCAGCATGGTTTCACTGCCTGTGTTCCTCACTCTGGTGGCTGCAGGTCAAATCACCTCCCAAACATTTCCTACCTTTACCTGTAGGTCAGGGCCTCGCCTAACCGACTGATTCAGGTTCTAAGCAGAACCTCCAGCCATGAAGAACATCGATATGAGCTTGAATAATCAAAGATGCACAGTTAAGATCACCAATCTGTTTGTATTCTACTGTGGGACCAACAGCAGGACATTGTTTGATTTGATCTAAAATAATACCTCATATTTATTCAAGTTAAACTAGCATCAATAAAAGCATGTAAGTATATAATTCCAGCATGGTTTTTTCCAGGTATGAAATGCACGGTGATGACCTGACCTGGAGCCATCTGGGGTTTATTCAGAGATAAAAGTGTGAAGTGTGACTGTCTGCACTGTTTACTTCTGTTTTGTTTTGTTTCTGTAGTGGCTTTTTTTTGGTTCAGTTTGTCTTTGAGTTGATACTAACCTCCACGGTTTGACACTCCACAAGAAAGGCAACCATCAGACTACAGCATAAAAAAATCAGAGCTAAGCTTTGTTTTTTTTGCTTGTTGTTTTTCTTGACCCCAAAAATGAAGATTTGAATATTTGGAGGCCTAAACTAATTCCACTAAAATTAAAGTGCGCCATCTCCAGGACGAGAAATGCTTCTGCTTCGTTTGAAGCTTCACCTTATTTAAAAAGAAAAGAAAATCAACAATTAAGTTTTATTCATGTAACAAAGAACATCATTTGAGCCACATTATAAACAGATTTTAAAAAAAGAAATCCAGGTCTGGTGTATTTCAGTCCCATTACTGCCTCTATTATTAACATCATGATGATAAAAAGCAGCTGATCCTTTATTTGTGATTCAGAGAATTTGCAGCTTTCCTCATCCTAAACCAGGATGTGTCGACAGTGGAGAGGAACGGACCGAAACTTCAGCAGAACCGGGCTCGGTTTGCGCTGCCAATCCGGGGAAAGGAAGCTTAGTCAGAGCTTCAAAGAAACTGACTCTAGCAAAACATTCATGGGTTTATGGACTAAAGGGAAACGATTGCAGGTGAAAAGTACATTTCTGAGGATAAAATCAGTAGAAGGGTTTCAGGCATTTATAGAAGTATCTGACAAAGTGGATAGAATGAGGAATAAGCGTCTTCTTTTAGAGAAGTTTAATAACAGTAAAATGTCCACATTTAGGAGTGATAATATTTTTAATATAATAATAAATATATATATATATATATATTAAACATTTTAGTCCCTAATGCGTCCTGTTAGAGGTTCTGTTTGGTACCTGTTGTTTTGGACTTTTTTGTCTGCAAGGATATTGCTGCTGATTCATCAAAAATCCAATTCCAGTTGTTTCAGGTTTAGATAATGCTCTTTTGAAACTGAGCTCACAGCAGCCTTTTTTATATTTGACTCCATGATGTCTGAAACCGATTTCAGTCAGTTTTTTTTCACTAAACATTTTAAATGATGTTTACCTGTTGGTTGCTCGCACCTGGTTGCCTCTCATTAATGCGTAGTAATTAAAATAAAGACCACTGAGTATTTATATCACTTCAAATCTGCACAATTCCGACTGGAGCTTTAACTATAGAATGAATGTAGATTTTCTATAATGGCCATCAGGAAGCGGTTCGCGCGAGAACTAAAAAAGATAGTTTATCCAAAATAAAAGCCTGAAAAGTGTGGAGGTCATTTATTTTTGCTCTGTTTAATCTTGATACCCCAAAATGAAAGCCAGTGCAACTAGCTGCCTTCAGATGCGCCCTGACTGGTAAATGGAGTCCATCTTTGTGAAATCGACAGTATGAGAGAGGAGGCGTGTTTGCAGTTTGCTGTATATAGAGATGAGTACTATGCAGCAAAAAAGGGAAGCATGTTTAAAACGCTGCACAGGAGAGGCAGCTGAACATACATCCACAAGATACATGGAGGTGGCGGCATCATGCTGAGGGGATGTTTGTCTTCAGTAGTGGAATGCCAGCTGGTTTGTACATGAAAAAAAAGAGATTTAAAATGGAAATGGCTTCAATGTGGGGGGATTTATTTTCAACCTTTTGTCCTTTTTTTCTTCACTTTAAGGGAATAGTACACCCAAAACATGATTAGCCTTCATTTTCTACTCACCCCCATGCTGAACAACACTCTGGAGTACTTTTTTGATATCTCAAATGCATCTGGAGATCTGGGAGGCTTCTTGCTGTCTGCTGACATTCAAATAATGGAGGTCTATTGTGCCCGAGACAGAAAGGTCCATAAAAGTCCACAAAAAACGTGTCAATATTCCTCCATACTGCTCGTCCAATGTATTCCAAGTGTCCTGAGTGGGTAGCGTCCAGAATTTACTGGAAACGAAGTCATTTAGAATGTTTTTAGAGCATAAACAGTAGTGTATAGGATTTCCTAAAAGCGCGTTCACGAGTCTACGGAAACCGCAGCAGACCAAACCAGATGAAAGTGCGCATTCAGCTCGGCAAAGAACCCATGCTCTTCCTCAACAATGAAGTCCTCAGACATTTTTCTTTCGTTGTTTCTTTCTTTGCACAGGTAAACAGCATATTTCTTCTTCTACGCTTGCATTATCGGCAGAGCAGATGCTGAATGCGCACTTTCATTTGGTTTGGTCTGCCGCGGTTTTCGTAGACTCGTGAACTCGCATGTGCGCGCTTTCAGGAAATCCTATACACTACTGTTTATGCTCTAAAAACATTCTAAATTACTTCGTTTCGAGAAAATTATGGACGCTACCCACTCAGGACACTTGGAATACATTGGACGAGCAGTATGGAGGAATATTGACACGTTTTTTGTGGACTTTTATGGACCTTTCTGCCTCGGGCGCCATAGACCTCCATTATTTGAATGTCAGCAGACAGCAAGAAGCCTCCCAGATCTCCAGATGCATTTGAGATATCAAAAAAGTACTCCAGAGTGTTGTTCAGCATGGGGGTGAGTAGAAAATGAAGGCTAATCATGTTTTGGGTGTACTATTCCTTTAAAGCTGGAAGCTACTTTCTCTTAATTTATCACCTAAAATTCAATGAAATCCAGTGACCAGGTATAGTTTGAAATGTTCAGACTATACTGGCAGTTTCCTATCCTTGCTATTAAACAGAGATTCTCTTTTTCCTTCAGTTCCTATAAATCAGAAGAAAAATATCCTTTGTTTAAGTTACAACCACTTTTTGAAAAGAATCATTGTAAATATAATAGTCAGGTTCTAAATCCCAACATATTTTACACGATCACTGTTTAATGAACCAAACCAGAGCAAAATGAAAAAGCTTTCTCTGGAAGCTAAGTACAAAGCCTTAATGCCAAGCAGTTCCTTCTATAAAAGCCAGAGTTTGGGCAAACAGCCGGTCTGGAGCGTGGAGGTACGGCATCTGGAACGCTCTTCCTTTACAGCTGAGCTCTGTTTTTCCTCTACACTCATCAATTCTGTCACCCAACAATATCCAGAGTAATAAAAAGTAAGATTTCCTCAGTCTGTGCTTTAACACAGCCACTTTTAGGGGGGTTAGAACCATGAACAACCTGGATACAGTAATGCTATTGATTCTTTAAATTTTCATTGGAGGTTTACAAAAAATAAAATCACTTAGTTGTTCAATCATTTTGGAAAAGCCCAGATGATGAAAAGTCATTTACAGCATGGAGGTCAGACTGAGCGTCTATGGTTGTGATTTAGGGCACGACCTGAAACACACCTTTTCCCGACTCAAAATAATGTACGCCGGTCACTGACCTTGACCAAGACACCTTACAGTAAAACTGCATTCAGTCCCTGGAGAAGCATGGCTATTATCATACAGTAGTCATGGTGGGCCACTTCTTTGATTTTATTTGGTTTGCTCAGCAGAGGTTTCAAGTAACGAAGTACAAATACTTTGTTACTTTACTTAAGTACACTTATTAGGTATCTATACTTTACTCCACTACTTATTTTTCTTCCTACTTCAGACTTCTATTCATTACATTTTCACACAAGTATCTGTACTTTC